TCGGTGGTTGTCTTCCCCGTTAGAGTGTAATTGAATTTCAATTGAAATTCAAATAAATCTGCTCATTCAGTGGCAACAACGATGACAAAAGTAAACTTTACAACGCTGAAACTGATTCAAATATTGCAAGTTTTTTTGAATTCACCAATTAAAAAGCAAGTATGTATGATTGAAAAAATTTTATTGTGTTAGCGTTGCTCGGGTTACTAATAGTGTTTGTTATTACAGAAATCAACGAGGTCAGCAGTTTATTGATCATTTTTCATTGGTCACATTTTTAAACTGACAACAGTTTCCGTGCATACGTTTAAAAATTAAAACTGGTAAATAGCAAAAATTAAATATAAAAAACAAAGAGGTTTAAAAATAAGGTAATGCAATGTTGTCAGTGTGTTCAGCGTAGACAGTAAGCAAATATAGAATTATATGGTCAATTGAATGTTATCCTTCAGTTTTTTGATAAAAGCGGCCAACTCGGTGGGAGTGCTGGCTTCGGCAATAAAAGGATCGGCGAGAAGAACATCAGCAGAGGGTCGATCAGCAGGTTTGAACTGTGTCATTCTAAAGTTCAGATATTTGTGCGTATATAAGTACAAAAGGTCATTTTAAATTATAATGAACTTACAGTGAGAAAAAACTCTTCAATGTGGGTGAATATTTTCCATCTTTTGACAGAAAGAATCCATGAGTGCAGATGGCCAAAAGAACCTTTTTGCTGTCGTACTCGTGATAAGGGCATTTTCCTTCAAGAAGCTCGTACAGTGTGGCGCCCAGTGACCAAATCTAAAGTTTAATTTAAACGAGAGCTTGTAAATAAAAACAAAAGCCTAAAACCATTTTCAAACATTTACATCAAAGGCAGTGGACAACTCATCCTGTTTTGAATTTCCACCCTCCAGTCGGGCTCGGGCCTTCTCAGGAGCGGTGTATCGAATGGCGCTAATTTTGTTTCGCTGTTCTTTTGCCTCCTCCTGCTCTTCCTTTAGGTACAACGCCTTGCCAAAGTCGGTGATTTTCACAGTGCCATTGTTGAGAAGTATGTTGTCTGGTTTGATGTTGTCGTGAACTATTCCCTACAAAATAACAGTTAGAAGTTTTTGTGTAGCAACTTATCAACTTATCATCAGCATTCTTTCCAAATACCTGTGCATGAATGTAGCTAAGCGCGTTCAACAACTGCAACATCAAACAGGCAACAAATGGCTTTGGCCAGTGGTCGTAGACGTAGTCGGCCAGGCTTCCATCGGCCATCGGCTCAAAAGCCAGTGCCNGGCGGTGAGAATGTTTGGATGGCGTAGAACAGCAGTGTCGCCGCCGATGAAGTTCACCTCAGTGAGGACGTCCTGGAAGTTGCGTGCGGTGACCATCTGCACCTTTAACGCAATGGTAGAGCCTTTTGAGCCGTTTGCCATCTTGAGCCAGGCCTGGTGAACCGTACTTTGAGCCCCACGGCCAAAAACTCCTTCAACATTGAGTTCGTAGCTGGAAAGAAGCGACAGGCAGTCGCCAACTTTTGCCAACAGCTCAGTAATGTACTTAAGATGAGGGGCCGATGAAGATGGACGCTGGACAGGCTTTGTTATGACGGAAGTTGAAGGAGAGAGGTCCAGAGAGGGCATTGTAGTGGCAAACTCCTCTTCATCCTCTTCAATAATTGTCGTCAGAGGAAGTTTGTTTGTGCGCTCCATTTCAAGTTGCATTTCAGCAGTATACACTTTTAGCGTTGATGAAGTGTAGATGGCTGTGGGCACAAAGTCTAGGTCATTGTCGCTGTTTTGACCAATTGCTTTATTTAACTTGGCAAACTGTTCACTGAGGTGGTTGATTCGGTGATAGAAGATTTCCGTCTCAAAATTCAAGTCTTCCAATGTCTGCTGAGCTTTTTGGCGGTTCTTTTCAGTGGGCTTTTTCAACGCCTTGGCCGACTTTTTGCACAACTTCTTGACGGCCACTTCAAGTCGGCGTTTAGCTTCTGCTCGATCCTGTTCAATTTGGTCGATTTCGCTAAACGTACTGGTGTTGTTGTTAGCGTTATTTGAAGAGTTGCTTGAGGGCAACAACAACTTACTGAATTTGCCTATCAATGTCTGCCCTTTGGGGCGAACACAGTTCACTCTAAGTTGAGCTTCACAAATTGACTGAGCCAGGCTTCGGTTGTCAGAAAGTGCTTTGAGACCGTTTACCAAGTTGCCGATGTGACAGCTGATGATCTGGTTTTTGATGGTGTTGTCCTCCATGTTGTCAGTCTCTGTGTGTTGATCTGCCGGAAAAAATGAAAAAAGAGAAATCAGGTCAACTCTTTTTCAGCAATCGTCTGGAAAAACATAATGATGTGTCAACCGGGGAAGATTTGTCGACAAACTTACTACTGATGACTGAGGTAACCAAAGAAGTGGTTGTCCCTGCTGCAAGCAATGAACTTGACTGACTGACCGACTGACAGAGTCAGCGCGTTTACTAGATGTAATATAAGTACGTAACTGCAAGTGTGCGAGTGCCGGTTTGTGATGAGTCAAGCAAAACAACAAAGGCTGCACAGCAGTGGACAGTTGTAGAAAGGTGCAGATGTTTGAGCTGATGATGAGGATAATGATGATCAAGTTGTTTGTGAAATATATCAGATCATAATCAGCAGTAGGGATGGTGGTTGTGGTAGCTGGGAGACATTCAGTTGACTGCTTGTGGTGGCCAGTGCGTCTTTGAATATGTGCTTTTTAGACTGTGAGTCACTGTCTGAGCTGCGGGAAAGGAGAAAATTGAGAAGCAGCAGGGGCAGCAGTAAAAACAATGGCTTGTTGGTAGTCGCTAGAGCTGGTGCAACCTGCTACTTATCCCGCTTTCACACACTTTCCTTTTTCTCTTATTTCTTTTGTTGGGATTTGTATTGATAGCAAAGATGTGTT